ATTTTTTTTTTTTTTTTTTTTTTTTAAATAGGGTCCAGGTCGTAGGCTGGATGGTAGGCCTTGGGAGTCGCGTGTCATGGTACTCAACCAGTGGGGAGATCAGATGGCTTGTGACTCCTCTTCTGAGAACCTTCTTTTTTTTTTTTTTTTTTAATATCTTTATGTTCGCGTTCGGAGGGTTTTGAAGCTCGTTCGACTTCGGTCACAAACGTTCGGGTTCGGTCACCGAATGCGAACGCGATGCTACACAGGGCGCGCACAAGAGTAAATGTATCTCCCTGATTCTGGCATCAAACGCGTTTGATGCCCCCCTCTCACCCTTCACCGCCTAATAAAGGCATCAAGAGCAGCCCGTTACGATCTGCCCAACTGGTTATAACTGCCTTCCGTGGAAAAGAAGGGACTCTTTCTATCTGTAGAAGCCCTGTCCTTCGTTCTTCTCCTTGCGATAGGTTGTTTTCTCCACAAGAGCACCGGAACTCTGGCTATGGAGGAGTTGGGCAAGAAAGCCGCTATGGAGTTCGCTACTCCATAGCATCACCATGCCGATCATTGTGTGCACATCAATATAGGGCAAAGCAATTTCCACTCTCTTCTTTTGGTGTGCTCCTCTAGTGTTCAGTGAGAGTCACCCACTCTCCCGCAAACTGCTGCTCATACAGCACCCCCTTCCCCAGCCTCTGCCTCCACCTCCCCTCTTCACTGCTCGTATACCACCCCCTTCCCAACCACCCGCCCAACACCCCAAGCAGCTTGTACTCCACTTGCTTTGCAAACCCCGTCTCAGGCCTTCCGTCCTTCACCCCCACCCTTTCTTTCCGCCCTCGGACCCTCTACACACTGCGTCACCCTCTGCCCTCTTCTTCCCCCCCAACTGCTCGTACCCCGCCCCTGTTCACCCGTCTCACCCTTCACAGCTTTTACCCTCTACCCTTCCCCCCACCCATTCAGCAGCCCCTCCCCAATTACTGTCCCCCCGTTAGGATCCTCCCCTGCACTGCCTCATCCCACCCCCATTCCCCCCCTCGCACCCTTCACCTACCTCTCACCCCTCCCCACACCCTTCGCCCCTCCCTTTCACCCTTCAACACCTGCCCCCTGCCCCCCCCAACACCCTCTATCACACTGCCTCACCCTCCGCATCTAGATGTGTATAAGAGAC